ATGTGACAAATATCGACATAAATATATATCGAGTTTAAAGATAAGTATATAGATAAGATAATTTCAAATTAGTACAATCAGTGAATTTTGCGAATCTCATGATTCTGCATGTTACTATTGTTAAAACAATACGTAGTAATATGCAGGATCCATGGAATTCACAAAACTTATTAATCGCACTAATTTGAAAATAGTGATAAGATTTCTAAATTAAGATCTGATTTTAATTATTTTTATAGTGATAATTGTAACGTTTAAGTACTTTATTCACAAGCAAATCTATTTTAATACTAGTTTTAACTGTCTCTAAATATATGTATACGCATGACAGTATTAATTTAATCATATTAGTAAATAATTTTTAAAATTTATATTGTATAATTACAGGTTTTGCCTTGAATTAGCTATATTATATATAAAGAGTTGTTTTATATACCAGATCGCAAAGTTACATATTGTTACAAAAATACAATATACCAAAATTTATCTTTAATTTGTTATTACTATTGTTCTAGCACTAATTGTTTATTTTTTGATTTGACTTTTTTTATTGTTCAAGAAAATATGTGAGAAAATTAAGTGTGAATTACGAGATTTAGATTGATAAAGCTCTTTCAAAATCGAACCTCTATTAAAAATTAAACCTTTTTCAAAAATTAAAGCTTTGCTAAAAGCAAATTGTAAGATAAAATAAATGTATACTTATTATAATCGCTGTAAATTGCTATGTATCTAAATGAATATATATAAATAAATTAATTTAAATAATATTTGCAAATATGTAGCATTAGATAAATAACTTTAAATACCTTAATTAGCGAGTATACAATATATATGCAATATATAACTATGCATACATATATAATGCATTTGCAGCAACTATATTGAACGTAGTTATCTATTTTCTTATTTTTCATAATTTATGTAAATTTATTTGCAACAAAGAAATTTTATAATATATAAATATAAGCTGTTTTTATCATACGTATTATTTTGTAAGTTTTTAAAAATGTCTAATAAAAAACATACAGGTGGAAAGCCAAGACATAATCTTACAGAACATATACTTATTACAAATGAATATGTTAATCCAGAAAAACCTAGTGATAAATGGTGTTTGTGTCGATATTGTGATAATATTGGCGACGAAATAAAAATTGTTAATAGATGGAAATTAGTGCGAAACCATCTCAAAAAATGTTTTAATTTTTTTGATGAGTTTGAACAAGTGGAAGCTAAAAAAAAGCTTTAAGAAGCTGAGCAAGAATATAACTTCACAAAAGAATCACGAAAAACAATAAAAAAAAGAAAAAGTTCTGAGTTACAAGATGAAAAATCATATACAGATATCGATAATGGTAAGTTTTATAATCATTAAAATAAATTTTACCAACGATAATAAAGTTCTAATAAATTTTATATTAAAAGCTTTGAAATCGATTCTGATAATGATAATTATGATTCAGAATGATTAACGGGATCTACTACAAGCTTAAATTTGTCTCAAAATTCTAATCCAAACAAAATAGCACATTATATAGCTCGTATACTTACTTATAAAGAACAAACTCAATTTGAAAAGCATATTCTTAATATAATTGTCGAAAATGGTTGGTCATTTAGATAGGTAGAAGCCAAATCAGTTATTGCATATTATCGTTGGCTTAATCCAAATCTTGTTTTACCTAATCGTAAACAACTTGCTGGTCGAATTTTAAAAGAAGTAGCTGAAAGAATGCAAAATATTATAAAAACTAAAGCACAAGAAGATTCAAATAGTATAATGTTAGTATTTGATGAATGGAAAAACATAGCTAAACAAGAAATTTTAGGGTCAATACTTGTTACATCGAAAGGTGAATTACTAATTTGGGAAGCCAAAGATATTACTGGCAAACAAAAAAAATAGGAAAATGTAATGGAAATGATAGAATCATTCTTCGATATGTTTGAAATAGAAAAAATTCAAATTATTGGTCTCATAACAGATAGTGCGTCACCATATGCTGCAGCAAAGTAAGTTTTATAAATTTTTAATTTAAATTTAAATATATACAGTATATATATATTTATTTTTTTTTAGACGACGATTACGGTTAAAATATACAGATAAAATTTTTTTACCTTGTTTTGCTCATCAGCTTAATTTATGTATCGGTGAAATTTTTAAAGAATCTTACGAATTTGATAATACTTTAAAATCAGCTATTACAGTTGTATCTTATTTTAATAACACTAATCATTTGTATTTTATAAAGCAACTTCATGATGAACAATATTCAATGTATAAAAAATGTATTGCACTTGCTAATCCTGTTGAAACTCGTTGGAATAGTTATTACTATTGCTTTTCAAGTTTATTAAAAACTAAGGCGGCTTTAAAGGCAAGTTATTAAAACATACAATATATTAATTTTTAATATTATCATTATTTATTTTATGATATAAAAATATTAAATTATAAAATTTAGACTCTTGTAGCTAAATTTGAGTTATCAACTTCTGGTAATACACGAAATACATCATTATTATCTACAAAAATTTGCGATATTATTAATAATGAACAATGGTGGGTTACGATTAATAATCTTGCAAATCTTTTATTACCATATTGCGCAATTTTAAATAAATTACAACAAGACAAAGCTCGTTTACATGAGGTTCTTCATGGATTTGCATATTTTATTAAATTTTATAAAGAATATGTTGATCAAGAATTTGCTACTCAGATGATTAATCGTTTAGAAATGCGTTGGAAAACATGGGAACAACCACTTCTTTTACTTTCTTTTCTTCTTCATCCAAAATATTGTATGGAAATGTTTGATAGTAATGTCGAAGGATTATATACACAACTTAGTGATTGGGTCTGCTGGTATTATTATGCATGGTTTCAAACAGAACCAAAATCATTACTTCCTGAACTTGAAAAATTTC